GCTCGCGTCGTGCCCGCTCCCGAGGAAGCCCTGCCAATACAAGGCCTGGCTGCCGCGGGAGGCAGGAGTTGAGAGGGGAGAGTCTGTCGCTGCGGAGACAAATTGCGAATTGAGGCTTTGGACGTGTTTGGCCTCCAGGGGCCATTTTATTTCTGGGCCCTGGGATCGTCATGCGACTCGGGATGAGAAACGGGACTCGGAGGAGCGGCGTCATGAAGCAAATCGTCGCTTCGGAGGGCGGGCCAGGAGGGGACAAGGCGATCTTGGGTCTCCGGGTGGTGCTGAGGCTTCCAGGGCCCGTCGGGAGCCCTACGCCACTCCCGAGGGGCCCGAGGGCCGTTCCGGCCTACACTCTAGGCGATGCTTAAGGAAACCCAGGTTTTCGGCCAGGGTCTCGATGATTCTGAATGTTTCAATGTATATCCTAAGATTTGAATAGACATTCTGGGTTTTTGTTCAAATTGTGAGACTATGAATTTCTTAACCCTTGATTTCTAAAGCATTTCGCAGGGTGTACAGCCGGGGGGAGGAAGAGTTTGCCCGTGCCCCAGGCAGTTTGGCCACGTCAGGGTGGTCAAGACGTCGTCGAAGTACGGAGCAGTTCGGGGTCGGCAGGGGGTGGCTGTTCCCTGTCTCGTTCCATGGTGGCTCCTCTGCAGCAGCGCTCCTCGTGCACCCAGGCGCCCCTGGGGCCGAAGAGGAGACCCGTTCCTCATTCAGGGCTCCTTATGGTAGCAGCCTGCCTGCAACGTCGTACATGGGGTGCTGCCGGTCAGGTGCGGGGCGGGGGAGAAAGCATGGACGATTTGGGAATGGTTTGGCCTGGGCGTGAATGGGTTTAGAGGCGGGCAGGGGCCTGAGGGCCTGAGGGCCATGGACTGGGTGTGCTTGACCAGGTTGCTGCCGCAGCAGCTCCCGTTCCTTCTCCACATCCTCTTTTTCTTATTCCTTCTCCCAGGTTCGTCCCTCCTACTCCCTCTCCCCCCTCATCCGCCTCCCCCCCTCCTGTTCCTCCTCATCCCTCCATTCTTCCGCTTCATTTTTCCGCCCCCTCTGCCATTCCGCCCTCTCTGCCTCTGTCTCTGTCTCTGTATTTCTCTCTCTCTCTCTCTCTATCTCTCTCTCTCTCTCTCTCCCGCGTCGTCTGATTCTCTTGCCTCTTCGCCCCCTCTCCTTCGGTAGCAACTCATGTGAGCCATGAGTGTCCTCGCATGTCTGTGTTCAGAGTGCACTGATCAGCGTGCGCTAGCGTCTGGCAATCTACGGGAAGGCGCTGATTTAGCCCCGCTGATCGTCGACTAGCGTCGGTCAGCGTCCACTCGCAAGAGCCCGCAAGATGGCACTGGAAGCTCCCATGAGTTGACACAGAGCCCTCTCGCGTGTTGCCCGAAGTGCCCCCCGGCTCAACGTGCCCCCGAGGATGGAGGCCCCCACGGCCCCCGCGAGCACCCCATCGCGAGGCCCAGAGGGCACCCCCAGAGGCTCCCAAATCGGGGGGAAACGTTGGGGGCACCTTGGGCAAAAGGGCACCCTGCGCCCTGCCCCCTCGGGGGGCCGCCCGAGGCGCCACCCGCCGGGACGGCTTCGAGGCCGCCGCCCCCGGGGCGGTGCGGCGCGGTGCCACCGCGCAGCGCTGCACGCGCGCGCGCGCGCCTTCGCGCCGCCCCCCCCGGCGTGCCCGCGCGGCGCGCTGCCTGCATCGTCAGGGGCCACGGAGTATACTTACCTCTGCGCCGGAGCAATACTATTTTCGGATGCAACTCCTGTGAGGTCAAATTCTGATTTTGCTCTGGTCCGAAGTCCGGCTAAATCAGGCTCAATTCAGTTTAGTCCCGTTTAATCTGGCCTAAACCTGCTTAATCCCGCTTGATCCGGCTTAATCCTGCTTAGTCCGAGGCCCACTCCGGCGTAAGAGTTCCCAAATGGGGCTTAATATTTTTCTTATAATCTTTCCGACAAAAACCTCCCAGTGGTTGCCTCCTAAAGTAATATTGAAAGACCTAGAGGAACTATTTGGTAAATCTCCCATTATCTTTGCGGATAATGTTTTTTGGAAGATAGCTTGAATTATAGGCCCTATCCCGAGGTAATATGCACATCTGTCGATGGTAAATGATTCGGTGCATCCAGCCGGAGGCATCGCCCTCTCAGCGCCGCAGGTTTTTCTCGACCATTCGAGACTCGGGGGGTGGTTTCCGTCGGCTGCGCCTCGTCGAGGGCGCCCCGGGGGGCCCGGGATCGTCCCGAGCGAGCGCCGGAGGCTCGAGTTGTGACCCGAACGTCGCTCCTTTCGGGGGCAGCGTGAAGGGGGGGGGATGGGCTCAGTGGGGGACGCATCGCCCTGCAAGCCCCCGTGCATCGCCGATGTGGGGGGCCCGATAGGTCCACCCCGCCGAGGAACGTGTGGATTCGCTATCGGGGGCCCATTGCCGATCTATCGGCGAGGTATCGCCGATTGGTTTCAGGTCGAAGTCTCCCCCCCTGGGCTGATCCATCCCTGACGTTGCCCCTCAATTCGGGGGCGAGGCAGAGGCGCGCGCGCGCACGTGAACTCGCACGGGCCTGCGAGACAGCGCGCCGCGCGAGACTTCGTGACGTGAGAGCGGCCTGGCGAACTGGGCCCCCTGGTTCCGCTGGTGGCGGAGAAGTCGCGACGGGTGCTTTTGGTCGCTGCCGGCCTCTTGGGGCCTTATACTGGGCCCGGGGCCGTCAAGCAACGACTCGGGTCCAGAGGTCTCGGGCGCCACGTTGCGAACAGATCACGACTTCGGATGTCTGGGGTCGGGAGGCATCATCGCGCACCACGTGGCCAGGCGCGTACGTCGTTCCTGGGCTCGCCGCCAGGATTGCAGGCGGGCCGGGGAGGCCACGCGTTCGTCCTCGCGGTCGTCAGCCGCAGCGGTGTGGTGCAATAGGGAGGAAAAACCACCCGGACCGGACAACTGGCGTTTACTAAACGGCCCTGGGCGTTGACTAGAAGCCCTGCCCTGTTCGATTCCTTGTTTGGGTGCGTTTACTAGACGGCCTCGCTTGTCGGGGTGGTTCTTATGGGGAGGATTTTTCGCCTTCCAGCGGTGCCTGTGCACGTCCTCCCCTGGGGGTCTTTGGGTGCCCCTCGCAAACTCTGCCGGCGGCCTTGAAGAGGTCCCGACGGTGTCCTTCGGAGAGATCTCCCTCCGGGCCGCATTCCTGTGCGCGAGCGGCAGCACCAGCATGAAGTCGGGCCTGCCCCTCTACAGGGGGGATATTCCAAAATAGTCAAACACTAGTCTGGGGACGATTTTTTTTTGGGGGGGGGGCATGTTTGAGTATTTTTGGACTATTCTAAATCCGGAGAGGCGCCGTGCAGCGCCTTGCGAGGCCCAGTTTCGGAGAGGGCCTCCAGATCTTTGTTCAGCGTCGGGTTCGAAACCTCTAGCTGGCGAATTTTCCAGGGCAAGCGAGTTTAAAATGCGCTCTCTCCGATGTACAGCTCTCGTTCTCCCCCTAATTCTTCCCATCCTCATCCCTCACATGACTCAACCCCGTGCCCCGGATAACATAGGGTCCCCCTCCCCTTAAATTCTCTGCGTTGATTATCTCCAGCCAGGACACTATTGGTCGGCGGGGGGGGGGGCAGGGGGGGCGAAATTTATTATCCATGGGTATTTGGATTATTCATATCATTGCAATACCTGTCCTATTGTCCGTACATCCGTACAGCGCACGTCCGTACACTCCGTACATTCCGAAACACGCTTCGAATTTCCGTACATGCGTACATTCATACATTCCGTACACCGTACATTCTTACGCCGTGCATCCGATCATGCGAGTTGTTTGGATAAATGTGTGGCATCCTTCCGGGACCCCGAATTGTCTTATCCCCGAGATGTGATAATCGAAAACCCGGTAGCATCGCTCCATCTCTCCCGCCGATTCTCACCATTTCCCGCCCAGCAATAAACTTTGGCCATTCCTGCACTTCGGTTTGCACTACTTCCCGAATGGTTTTGTATGCCCGCCATCTTTTTGTCGTTTGTCCAGCTTGGCAGTCCCTTCGGTAGCCTAGCTGCTGGGTTTGCGGTAGTCCACGGCAAAAATGCTTTCCGCCCATCGATAATGCAGGATGATGATCAGAAATTGCCGGGGGTCGTGTTCACGCGGAGGCGCTTGGGATGATGATTAAAATTATCCTGGCGAAGGACCCAACCATATGCAGTTGTGAGTACCGCGTTGTGTGTGCCGCTATCGGTGGAACCCCCTGTGGGGCCACGATCCCGGCTGGGGGACGCATGCAAACCTTGCCGCCAGGGCCTCTGGTGGAGCTCCCTATGGGGCCACGATCCTCGTGAGGGTTGTACCAAAATGAGCGGGGGGACGCGTGCAAACCCTGCCGCGGGGGCCTTCGGTGGAGCTCCCTACGGGGCCACGATCCTCGTGAGGGTTATGCGAAAATGAGCGGGGGGACGCATGCAAACCCTGCCGCGGGGGCCTTCGGTGGAGCTCCCTATGGGGCCACGATCTTCGGGAGGGGTGTGCCGAAATGGACGGGGGGACGCATGCAAACCCTGCCGCTGGGGCCTTCGGTGGAGCTCCCTATGGGGCCACGATTCTCGTGAGGGTTGTGCGAAAATGAGCGGGAGGACGCATGCAAACCCTGCCGCTGGGGCCCTTCGGTGGAGCTCCCTATGGGGCCACGATCCTCGTGAGGGTGTGCGAAAATCAGCGGGGGACGCATGCAAACCCTGCTGGGGCCCTTCGGTGGAGCTCCCTATGGGGCCACGATCCTCCGGAGGGGTGTGCCGAAATGGGCGGGGGGTCGCATGCAAAGCCTGCCGCTGGGGCCTTCGGTGGAGCTCCCCATGGGGCCGCGATCCTCGTTAGGGGCGTGCCGAAATTGGCTGGGCGACGCATACAAACCCTGCCGCGGGGGCCTTCGGTGGAGCTCCCTATGGGGCCACGATCCTCGTGAAGGGTGTGCAGAAATCAGCGGGGGGACGCATGCAAACCATGGCCGCTGAGGCCCTTCGGTGGAGCTCCCTATGGGGCCACGATCTTCGGGAGGGGTGTGCCGAAATGGGCGGGGGGTCGCATGCAAAGCCTGCCGCTGGGGCCTTCGGTGGAGCTCCCCATGGGGCCGCGATCCTCGGTAGGGGCTTGCCGAAATGGGCTGGGCGACGCATACAAACCCTGCCGCGGGGGCCTTCGTTGGAGCTCCCGATGGGGATACGACCCTCGTAAGGGGTGTGCAGAGATCAGCGGGGGGACGCATGCAAACCCTGCCGCTGAGGCCTTCGGTGGAGCTCTCTGCGGGGCCACGATCCGAGGGGTGTGCCGAAATGGGCTGGGGGACGCATGCAAACCCTGCCGCAAGGGCCGTTGGTAGAGCTTCCGATGGGGCCACGATTTCGTAGGAGTTGTGCCAAAATGAGCGGGGGGACGCATGCAAACCCTGCCGCGGGGGCCTTCGGTGGAGCTCCCTATGGGGCCACGATCCTCGTGAGGGTTGTGCGAAATGGAGCGGGGGGACGCATGCAAACCTTGCCGCTGGGGCTCTTCGGTGGAGCTCCCTATGGGGCCACGATTCTCGTGAGGGGTGTGCCGACATGGTGGACATGCGACGAGCAGAAGCAGGAATGGGAGGAGGGAGGAGGGGGAGGAGGGAGGGGGCAGCGGGAGTAGGTGAGACGCGGGGCGCTGTCTCTTCAAAACTAGGACCCAACACCACAGGATGGTTGGGAACAAGTGGCCCCTGGCTGGGACATTATTTGTTGAATATTTCCTCATGTTTTTCTCTGGCGCGCGCCTGGACGGTCGACGAGCCAGACCGAGCCGTAGCGAGGCGGAAGCCGAAGATTCAGACAGTATGTTCCCCCACATTATTTTATGAATTGCCATCTTTCTAAGCAGAAGAGCCACCATGAACATAAACTTTGGCGCTCCGAGCAGATTTCTTGGATCGGCGCTGGGGCCCCCCGGCGACGCCTCCGGCGCCGCCCCTGGCGCGCTCCGCGCGCCAGGGAGGGGGGCACTGCGCAGATCCAAGAAACTTGCGCGGAGCGTCAAAAGTGTATGTTTACGCCGATGCTTCTTCTAACCTCACGTAAGTTTCCCTCCCAAGCCTCCCCCGCTCCCCTTCGCCGCTCAGGTGGTGCCTCCCGCCCCCGTCCCGCACCGAGAGAGCGCCGCGGCCCCGCGCGCTGCTCCCGGCAGGCGAACGGCTACGGCGGCATCTCCGCGTCCGCCAATTTGGCCATGGCCATGGGCAGGGGTGCCCCATCCCCTCCCCCCCTCCCAATTGCGCCGCCTCCTCCACCTCCTCGTCCCCTCTTCGGAACCTGCCTCTGCGGAAGCAGGCCAGTCCGCCCTCCGCTCTCACCGTTCGCCCCCGACTCTCCGCGTCTCCGTGCTCCCTCCCGTGTACCCCTCGTCGTCCGTCCTCTTTCCCCCCCCCCACTCTCCTCCCCCCCCCTGTTGCTCACTGACTGCGGGCCCGATGCTTGCACCGCCTGGACACGTTGGAAGGCCACGGGCGTTGGTGTCTTCCCTGCCGTTCGGTTGCGGTGGGCATGATCTCGTTTCTTGGTCGTCCGCGGTGCGCGGGGTGGTTCGTGGCCGTCCCATACCTCTGTTTTCCCACGAATCATTTGGCACCCTCATGCTATTCAGCTCACTGCGGTCCGTGGGCGAGTGCCCTGGGTGCAGGCGCAGGAGCCCTTCAGTCGGAAGGGCTCCTGCAGCGATGCGGGCGAGCGGTGTGCTTCTCGGTGCAAAGTACGCAGCCCGCTGCTGTATTGCACATCAGGGGGTTCCGTTCCCGGCGGTGCCGACGCGTCCTTGTCGGGTGTGTTTGCCGAGTTGTCGCCTTGCAGTTTGTTCTCTGGGGATTCGGTTATTTCCAGTCCCTTCCCCTGTGCGTTGCCGACCCCAGGGCCAGAGGTCGTGGGAGGGACGGGCGAGGGAGAGATGGGAGTGATGGCCTCCTCGAGCTCAACGCTGATTGTGGACCTCGATCGGGTGGCGTGGTGGAGCGGTTGCCGCACAGCATGATATATTGTTAGCTGGTCGACTGATTACCGATACGCCAGCGCAAGTTATCAAGGTATATAAGCAGAAGCCGAGAACACAGCGATTCCTCGACGCACGGCTTAAACGCGTATTCACTTGTGTAGACGCAAGTTCTAGTTTTGTAGTTTACATTTGTATATATACATCTGTATACAATCCCGATTCCTTAGGTACGCGAGAATAATTTAGGTCGGCCATTAAGAACCCCTCCTTCTAATGAAACGATCCCTGAAGCGTTATCTTGCCACCCTGAAGAGGTGGAGGAGGAGGAGGAGGAGGACAGGGAGTCCAGTTCCACAGAAGTTCAGCGCCACCACAGGAGCAGTTAAGCATCAGTGTCATCGTTGTCATCCCAGTAAGGTCGCACGAATGTCCTGAGGGTTACCTTTGCGTCCTTGCCCTTGCGACACGTCTTTCGCGGTGTTCATTGACCAGCTCTCAGGGTGTTTTCAGTTCGCCATCGTCGGCGTTCAAGGCCCTTGCGTTCTTACCGCCAATCCTCACTATAGATGTCGGCCGCGGGGGGGGGAGTCATTATTTATTTGTTTCGGTTTGGTGCGGAGAGAAATACAGAGAGCAAGCGAGAGAGAGAGAGAGATAGAGACAGAGAGACAGAGGCAGATATTGACATATGCACATATGCAGATCCCAGGTTCATATAATAATAATGCATGAATGCGGGGGCCTATGCGCATATGCATCGGCGTTCCGAACATGTCGTCATATACTGAGATGCGATCATCTTGCCTTGGCAGTGGCAGGATCCCGTCCAGTCGGATTTCCAAACCCTTGGGTTTTTCGCTTTTGGAGCTCAAGAATTCAAGTTTCAGCACCAGATCACACAATCGGGTGACATCCTGAACTCTGGAATCCCAGGTCTTTGATCCGACTGCTCTTGCCTCCGCCCGCTGGGAGTCTTGAAAGGAGGGGGGGTCAGCTCGGCGCGGTCGGAACACGGGTCAGCCTCCACCCACCCGTTCGAAAGCAGCGGACGAAGCCCATATCATATTGACGCTCCCGGCAAGCGCCACAAACTTCTGCAGCGGCGTTGTGTCTCTCCTATATGCCCGAAGCCCGGCCCCGAGGGCCCAGGAGCCGCAGCGCACCGTGCTCTCACCTCCCGGAGCCTCCCCCGGAGCCGTCCCCGAAGCCCCCTGGGCCCAACGTAGAATTGAAGTCGGGCACGTCCCTCTACAGGAGGACTCGTTTTTCCTCGAGAGTCCGCCTGCAGGAGGACCTGCCCGACCCACCGTGGAAGTTCCGGACGTCCCGGATGGTTTCCAGATTGCTGCAGGACGGCCGAAGGTGGTCTTAAGACGGCCCAAGGGCCCCCCAAGACGCCCCAAAGACGGTTCCAAGAGAACCGCCCCGGGGGTCTCGAGCAGCAAGCAACGTCCCAGTCCCGCAGGAGAATGCATATGTGTAGCATAGTTGTTCTTTGTCCGAGCAGCGTCCCACTCGGCTCGAAGGCACCCCCAAGACACCCCCAAGGAGCCCCCGAGAGGTCCCGCGGCGCCCAAGACGGCCAAAAAAGCATCTCAAGAGGGCCCCAGGGGCCCAAAAGAGCCCCCCGAGCGGCCCTCCTATCCTCCTCGGCGCCAAGGTGGTCTCCAGACTATCCCGATTGTCCCCAAGAGGCCCTCTGAGTCCCCCAAGAAGCCTCCAAGAATCCGCCACGAGAGGCCCCCAGGAGACCCCCCAGAGGCGCCCAAGTGGCCCCCACGAGTCCCCCGGGCGGCTCCCGTAGAGACTACAAGATACATCTCGCACGCCTCGAATCGAAGACACCTCCGTGTCAAAGGGGGATTATACATTATGCAAACTTCTCCCCTTCGCTCCTCCTCATCCTCTTTCTCACCCTCCTTCTCATGTCTCCTCCTCCACCTCCCCTCCCACTACCCTCCTCCCTCCTCCCTCCTCCTCCCCCTCCTCCTGCTCCTCCCACTCCTCCATCTCTTTTACGCCCACCTCGTCCCTCCACCGTCCTTCTTCTCCCTCCGCCGTACTTGGTTTCTGCCTTGTCCAGCCTTCCCCCACTCTGCTCGTCCTGCCACCTCCCCCCCTCCTATCTGGCTTCCCAGCACCCCCTGTGCTCCGCCCACACGCCGGAAGTCCGACCCCGGAGGCCCCAGGCCGCAGCACACACGGGACGCCCAGGCTCCCTTGTATTAGCAACGGATATCCCCTCCTGGGGCCTTCCCGGAGCCTCCCCCCGGGGCTCCCCCGGGAGGCCCCTGGAGGTGTGCAGAAGTTCCAGGAGGGCCCCACGACGGTCCCCGGAGGCTCCTCAGGCTGCCCCAGGAAGTCTCCAGCAGCACAAGGAGGCCCCAGGAGGCCGCCAGAGTGCCCACACAGGACTTCCGAGAGTGCCAAACCAGTCGAAATAACACAAAGGAATTCCAACGTGTTTCCCTTCATTGTTTGACCCTTTCTTTTCTGAAAGTCCCATTTGTTGCGAAAGTGTGTCTTCAACATGGACTCGGATGCCCAAATGGTCTTGCCGAGAGTTGCAATATTGCCCAAGGGTGGCCGAGGAGTGCCGTGAATACCGAACTTCAATGCGACTTCAGACACCAATGCGTGGGTCTCCAAGCCAAGGACCCGATCATTTGGAAACGGCCCTTCTGACGCGCTAAATGTTTGGCCCGATGGCAAGGAGAATTTGAGCGCGCTCGAAGCGCCCGCGATGGTTCTTGTATCCAACCCAAATATAAATATGCCCCAACCTCCTCACCTTTCCGCGATGAGGGGAAGGGATCCCGACGGAAACGCGCAGGCCATGTGCCCCACGCCTTCCCCAGGGATCGTCTTCTCAATCCGTACTGGCTTCTGACGGCCCTGGGGCTCGCGAGCTGCCGCCAGAGCCCAGCAGTTGCGGAATATCTCGTGGCGGCCGCCGCTGCGGAGCCGCCTCTGCCGCCAAAGGTGCCGACGCCGCGGCCTACGGCTTCGGCGGCGGTGGCTACGACTACGGCCGGGAGGCCCCGCGGTGTCTGCCCGCTTCGTTGGATGGAGGTCCCACGCCAGACGGCCTCCCCCCGGTGCAGCGGGGGGAGGCCGTCAGCTCCTTGAAGGGATGCCATTCGGTTTTCGTTGCAGAGGTGACCATGCAAGTGCAACTTTAGAAAGGAACTGTTTGCGCCCGCTGGCATCTCTCTCTCCCGTCCCCGTTTCCTGGATCGTTTGAATTCTTGTTGGGATCTCACCCGTCCCGTTGGGATCTCCCCCCATTGCCTCCTCCCCCCGTCCACCCCCCAACCACAATTACTCAATATGAAAATACTCTCCCTCTTCCCCTGATGGCGTCGGGGTGATGGCCGCGCACCCTCCGCGTACTGTTTTTTTACACACAAGATTCCCGGGAAATCCCGGGAAACGACTCTCGCTGAGGCGCCAGCGTCATTTTTTCACAAAATGTTGCTCTCGTTGAGGCGCCGGCCTCATTTCTGCTCCCGAATCGTTCCGAATCGCGCTCCCGCTGCAGCGTGGGCCTCATTTTCGGATCGGTGTTTGGCCTCCGTCGTTCAGGATGGCGTTCTCGCCCCAGCGCGGGCCTTTTTCTCGCGCGCCCATCCGCCCGCCACCACCGCGCCGCACCGCCACCACCACCACCACCACCACCACCACCACCACCACCACCACCACCACCAGCACCAGTACCAACACCACCACCACCAGCACCACCACCACCACCACCAGCACCACCACCACCACCATCACACCACCACCACCACCACCACACCACCACTACCACCACCACCACCACCACGACAACCACGCACACACGCACGCACGCACGCACGTGCACCACCACCCACTACGCACGCGCGCGCGGAGCCGTCCGCGGATAGAGAAAATCAGCGCCATGGTAAGGGATGGGAGGGAGGGGTAGGACGTCAGATATGACGCGAGCGCACCTAGCTTGCCCCATCCCACTCCCCTTCCTCCCCCGTGATCCTCATACCCTTAATCTTCTCATCGTTCTCCCCGTGCTCCTTCCGCCCCACCCTCCTCCCCGGCCTTCGCCGCCTCCGCCCCACCTTCCTCCCCTGCTCCACCGCCTCCGCGACCTCCGCCTCCTTGGCCTCTCGTGCCTCGCTGCCCCAGGGTCGCGCCAGTGGAAGGGCAGCAGACACCATCCTGGCGCACGGCCCAACCCTCAGTTGGCGACCGCTGGGGAGCTCCTCGGCACGATCTCTGCGCGGGGGCTGTGCCGAGATGGCCGCGGGGCCCCGGGGGGCCACTGCGCTCCGCTGGTTGCCGCCGAGGAGGCCCCCGCCCCGCCCCGCCCGGCCCGCGAGGGGGCCGCCTACGGCCACGCGGGGAGCTCGCTGGACATGCGCATGCCCGCCGCTCGCCGGGCCCGCGGCGGCGGCGGCTCGCGCCGAGGTCAGAGGAAGACAGGGTACCCTTGTGGAGGACGCTCAATAGAGAGGAAGCGTGTTGCCAAATAATTTCCAGATGTCTAAAACATGTATGCCACATGTTTTAGACATGTCTTAAACATTTTTAAGACATGCTTAGAACGTGCTTCCTACATTTTTAGCATTTAAAAATCCATGAATGGACTGTTAGGGTGTCCATTGTCGTGGCGTCCACAAGGGTACCCATAATGCTGCCCTTCCCTCGTTTTCGCCTCTGTGGGCCTCCTGGGCGGCCCTCGTCGCCACCGCTGGCTTCGCATCGGGAGGCTGGTCAGGACGCACTCCGGGAGAGGTCTGCGGTGTCGCCCCATCTGGTTTCCCCAGGAGGTCCCCCGACGGACCCCCGGATTCCCAGGCGCCTCCGGTTTGCCGCGTGCGCCCGACACCTCCTCCAGAACCGCCGGCTCGCAGAGATCTCCGAGACGTCTTGGTCCGACGTTGTCCCGTTCCTGTTGGGCGTTGCGTAATGGGGGGGGGTCCTACATGGGGGGGTGGCGAGGGGGGGGGAGGCAGAGGGCCGCGTGCCCGACGCCCGAGAAGGCCGGCGACCGTGGCGCGCCGGCAGGAGAGAGCACGCGACCCGGTGGGGCTCCCGGCCCAACCGCACCTGGTGGGCCTGTCTTCCACCACCGCCACCAGAAGTTGGAGGGGGAAAGGAGGAGGAGGAGGAGGGGGAAGGAGGAGGGGGGGAGGAGGAGGAGGAGGAGGAGGAGGAGGAGGAGGAGGAGGAGGAGGAGGAGGAGGAGGAGGACCCCTCCCCCTCCTACTCATAGTGGTGGTGGTGGAAAACAGGCCCATCAGCACCCCTCGTTGCTGCGTGTTGTTCGCGGCGGGGGCCTGCTGCCGCTGCGCTATCGGCGGTGCGGCGCCGAGGCCAGGTCGGTGCTCCCCCCTCCCTGAGCCATTCCCCCCCTGTGGTTTCCCCGTCAGGGGATCAGGGGCAACGACAGGGGGGGGGGTAGGCATAGGGGGGGATGCATCGACTTCCAATCGCTTATTGATCGCCGATAGGGGCCCGATAGCCCAACCTGCCCAGGCAGGTGCGGATTTGCCAGCGGGGGCATATCGCCGATCTACCGGCGATGTATATATCCATATCCGATTATGAGTCGATGCATCCCCCCTATGCCAGTCCCCCCCCCTATCATTGCCCCTCAGGGGATCCTACAAGCCTCGTCAAAAATAAACAGAAGACTTCTGAATTCGGTGATCGTGGGGTCAGGGCTACTCCAGTGCTGACGGATGCCTGTTGGCTCGGACGCGGTGTGGTCCAAAAACCAACCCCACCCTCTCAGCATTGAAGAGCGCGCTTTCTGAGAAGTGCCCGAAAGTATCGTGCTCCAGGATTTCAACTTCCATATCTGGATAGTTGTAGCGAGGCGTGTAGGGTTAGGTCGGACTTGTCCCCCTGCAGGGGGATTTTGGACGAATAATTGAAGATACCCCGACAAATGCACCAAACATTGTCAAAACATCGTCGCAGACTATTTTGACTTTTTTTGAAGTGTTTTTTGAATATTCCCCCTGTAGAGGGACAGGCCCGACTTCATCCTAGGGGGTCCGTCATGGAACCAGGATGTCGTCGGAAGGGGCGTCTGAACACTGCACAGGGGCGGGGGGGGGGGGCATCGGGTCCTGCGTGCCGCTGCCCAGGTGATGGCAGTGAATCACCGCCTCTCGAAGACAACCAGGGCATAAGCAAATATGTTTCGGGGCTCTGCGCGGAATTAGTGAGTCTGCGCGGACCTCCGACGACAGCTTATTGCTTACGCAGTTAGAACAGCAAACAGTGCTTGCATTTAGGGGTTGTCACTTGGGTACCCAAAGGGTTCGGATGGCTCCGCCGAGGTTTCTCCAGGACGCATTGCCGTTCACATGTGTCGCGTTATCCAGAACACTTTCGAATTTCACGGTCATTGTGGTGATGGCCAGACGCGGAGGTTTAGAACGCGGGAGCTTATCGTCACAGGTAGTTTCGTTGTGTAGTGGAGCCGTGTTGCTGAAGCCTCAGTTCGTAGCCCTGTCTCTTTCGTTGGCTTTGTGTTGTGCCATAGTTTGCAGATGGTCTGCAACCGTGCCAGCGCAGTACTCCGTCAGTGGCCACGATTCCACGACCACCCAAAAGACCCGTACAGGTGGCACCTCTCGTTTTTTTTGAGGGGCTCTTTGAGGGGCTCTCAAAGGGGCCTACCTCACCTCGGCAGTCTTGAGGCTCTCTTGGGCTGTGGGGCTTGGGGCTCTCTTCGGACGCTCTCGGGCTGTCCTGGGGCTCTGGTTGGTTGTCCTGGTGCCGTCTCGGGATGTTTGGGGCCTCTTTCGCCTGTCTGGGGGGTTCTTGGGCGCGCTCCAGAGCTCCAGCTGCGGAGCCCCCAGCAGGGATCGACCTAAACAGTGTTGTTCGTTTTCGTTGTGTTGTCGTTCTCCTTCGTCCACTCGGAGCCTCCAGCAGCCAGCATCCGACAATGCATTCCCACTTCCGCCAATTGATTACTATCTTGTGCCGTCCCACCATTCCGACCTCCAGCATCCGCCATCCAAGTTCCCTTTCCACCCCCGCCAGTCAACCCCCATCATCCACCAGCACAGCGCGCCGACCCACAGCGCCGCCCGCGATGACGCCCACGCAGGGTTTCGGAGGAAACCGCGGAACACTCAAGACGTGAGCGGCGACGTGCCCGCGAACATCTCAATGCGCCAGCCCAGACTTAACGACCGAGAAACACGACGGCCCGACAGCAATTGGCCAGCAAACGCGCGCACGGCGCGCTCTGAGCCCCTTCGACCCCGCCCAGCCTAATGAGACACAGTGAGCATCATTGACGATGATACGGACGCGCCTAGGGCCCGACCACACTCGATGACACCGATGGGCCAATGCGCGAATTTTCCGCTGCACGCTGGGGTGCGGTTGCAGTCGACGAGACGTGGATTTCAGTGGAAGGAGGAACGTGGACCAACAGCGATGGAACATATATGGTCGCACCTGTCGGACAAAAAGCACATCCACGAGGCGCGGCAATCTTTGTTCGCAACTTGCACGCTCGCGAAATCACGCGTTTCACGCCGATCAGCGATGGGGGGGGGCGCTTGCATCGGCTCAGGCCTACCCGACTAGGCTCCGCGGATCATCGCGTCGCACTCCCCCCGCGGAGGGCGCGGCGACAATCGCGCGCGGCTGATGCGCGACACGCCTCGCCGCAGTACACAAGGGCGCAACAGAACATGGCAGGCTGACAATCTGGACCGGCGAAGTCAATCCGCAGGTTGGGTTTCGCGACAGCAAACAGGGCGATGCATGCGGCATTTCCCACGGCAAAACCCACCGCGTAGTTGGGAAGCTCGGGATGGGGGCGCGCAGCGCCAGAGAGTTTCTGCCACGAGTTCGGGCAATTACGGCGAAGCTCATGGTTCTTAACGCGCCTTCCGACAGGCATCCACAACGTGCACTCGCGCGCACCGGCGTCGGCGCGGACGAGATCTTCTCGCGGACTGATCGCGTTCTCATCGACCGGGCGTGCCGCAGTATTGTTCTAGACGCTCCTGCGCGCGCGCGCCCGGACCGCGGGCCCGACCGCCGAGCCGTTCGAGCGCGGCTCGCCGCGCCCGCCGCTGCGACGAGACGACGACGAAGACATGGGAGAAGGAGGCCAGCCACAGCCGCGCGACCACCAACGAACGTCCTAGATTGCCTGCAGCATTTCGCCGAGTCACTGCAAACGTACCCGCGCGCGTCGACTGCCAGTGAGAGGCTCGCAGACACGGGGCGAGCACTGAAGAATCCAAAGCTTATGAGACCAATAATGCCCGCCCCAACGACTACCGCCAAGCTCTCGGCCACGAGCATGCCAAACAGCTCCCCGACCTCATCGCGCAACGGCGTTTACTCGGAAGGCAGTGCGCCAACCAGAGGGCTCAAGGACTGAAGCTGCAGAGACACAGTCGGGACCGCGGCAGAAATGTCGGAGGCAGGATAGGCGCGCATGGAAAAACATATGCAATGCTTGGTCAATGACAGCCCTCACTCTGAACAACTACCGCCAGTGCACTGGAGGCGCGCCGCAATCACCGCGCGCGTCAAATCAGGAGGCCCCACTTTTCTGCAACAGTACGGGCCGTTTATGTCACGTCTCTTGTGTAATCGACTAGGGCCACTCTGAGACAATCAGCAACGCGTGGGACAAGCAGGCTTCAGACATGGCCACGGCGCCGAGGACCACTCGTTCACGACGGCGTCCTTGCACATCCAATCAGAATAATGGCACATACTTTTATGGGTTGCGGCTGGTGACTTCGAGCAAGCATTTGCTTGCGCCAGCCGCGACGCATGGCGGCAATCACGCATTGCGCAGAAGGTGCCGACATCGTACGTTCACCTCCTCCAGAAAAATATGCACTGGCCAAGCCGCTGCAGCAAGGACGGACAGCATCGGCAGAAGCTTCAACATCCAGCGAGGGGCGAAACAAAGAGACCCATTCATTCCGTTTCTTACTCTCCAGCGCACCACTGAACAAATCGTTCGACGCACGAAGGACACGCGGCGCATCGCATTGCTTGTTGTACAGGCGGGTTTCACCCCGCCCCCCCCCCACACCAACCTCATATTTGCAGACGACGTTTTTTTTATGTGCCCCAAACCTGTGTCATATGAAATCTCTGCTACGTGACCTCAAGATCCCATCGGCGCGGCGCGGCCTGGAGCTACGCCCAAACAAGACAAATATACTGACCGACGTCGCCCAGCGACGCGGCAGAACGATCAAGGTCGTAAGCAAGGACAGCGTGGAGATGCTGGGCGCAACGCGGAACGCATCATATTTGTGCAGGAGTCTGACATGCGACGATTCCAGCAACGCGGAATTCGCGAACTGAATAGTTTCGGGCTGGAGCCGCTTCAGCGAGCTGAGGCGCGAATTGACATGCAAGCGCTACCCTCTGGCAAGCCGCCTGCGTCTCTTCAATGGGACCAGTGACGCCCGCCGTCATGCGCGGGTGCAGGTCGTGGGTTCTCACCAGGAACACGGTTGCAGCATTTCAGCGTACGTTGTTGAAAGCTGCCCGCATTTTTGCGGGCACTTGCCGAAGACGGACTCCGGGGAACCGCCAGAACATCGACGAGAAGACCTTCCACGCAAGCAGCCCCCAGCGGGATGATGACAACGGAGCACGGCTCTGCCCGACGGACACCCCCGCCGAGAACTATCTACACAACGACGGCAGCACTAACGACGACGATTCCGACGACGACGGAAGCGCCAGCAGCGGCAACGATAGGTGCAACAGCAACTACCGATTAGAGCCATGGGCGCAGTGTATTCGACGAGTGACGCGCGCAGCCGACGCCCGTGCCAAACGCGCGTGCGTCGACAACGGGGCTCGCACTACTGTAAGCGAACATGGAGATGGGCCAAAGAGATTGTGAATCTACCCGCCGACCGATGGGTGAGATGCGCCGCCGTCTGACAAATTCCACTACACGACATAATACCAGCACGCCGAAAAGACGGTTGACAGCGGAAACGACGGGACTATAAGATCGCGACGCTTCAGGAAGCTATGGGCATGATCAGTTACGACAGAAATTTACCCGACGACACCGATTGCGATTTGTGGTTTGCATTGGCGTGTGATATCTCTTCGCGGCATGGGTTAGAAGACAAATTTACACAGTGCGCTGTTCACCGTAAAAGCACAGACGACATGACCTGAGGGGTCACGATCCTCGGCGCAGGTGATGACCGACCGACGTCGGCTTGTCAAGCATCTGGCTTCTAGTCTCCAGCATCCGACTTCCCACTGCAACCCCCAACCCCTTCCGAATGTCCACTGCCACTCCTACCTATCGGCCTCCAGCATCCACCAAATCACTATTCTAACCTACAGCTTTCTTGATCCGACTTGTCACCTTCACCGACTCCACCTCCACCACATATTGAGCTCCAGCCTCCACCAGCTCAGCACGCCGACCCCCAGAATCCAGCATCCAGAATCCGACTTTCCATTCGCACCTCCACCTGCTGACCTTCAGCCTCCCCCACTTCAGCACGCCGGGGTCAAAAATCCAGAGTCCGATTCCCCACTCCCACTTCCACTTGTCGACGTCGGGACACCACCAGGTCGGCATTCCGACTTCCAGTGCCCAGCGTCAGACTCCCACCTCCACATCCGCCTATTGACCTCAAATCTTCACCAGCTCAGCATTCCGATTCCCGGCCTTCAACTTCCGCTTTTCCATTTGCATCACCACCGATCGGCCTCCAGCCTGCACCAGCTCAGCGTCGCATCCAGCATCCGTCCGTCATTTACCACTTCGCCTATCAACCTCCAACCTCGACCAATTCAACTGATTGATGTCCAGCCTTTAACATTCTACGTTTCCCCATCTATCGACCGCCATCCCACCCGCTCAGCATTCCGACCACCAACATACAACGACCAGCGTTCCACCTCCACCTTTGGCGATCGAAATCACATCGCCACCAGCTCAGCATTCCGACCTCCATCGGCATTCCGACCTCCATCATCCAGCTGTTGACCCTCCATTTGCACCTCCACCCGTTTACCTAAAGCTTCTACCTTGTCAGCATGCCGACCTCCAGCCCCCACGAGGACATGAACGCCTTCAGCCAGCACCAACACCAATCCCAACACGTACCCAACTTTTTACGAACACAGTTCAACACCGACCATCCGAGCCCTAGAGACTAACCTCCAGCTCCCAGCTCCCAACTCAAGCTCTTGACCCGATCTCCGCGTAGACCTACACCTCACGACATCGGGTACCAGCTGTCAGAGTTCTAGCTTGCAGCTTTCCACATCAAACTCCATACCTCGAGTCTGAAACGCATATTCTTGAAACCTCCGCTGCATTACCCCGGACGTCAGTCTCCCGAGGTCCAGTCGGACTATGTGTGACGACAGTGGCTACGAATGGACGCTGGCACAGGCATGCGATGCGGACAAATGGCATGGATCTACCAGGGAAAACGCGGACAACATGCACTGAGGGCTCTGGCCCCCCCGCGCAGGACTTGAGGGGCCCCGCCCCTGGCAGTACCGCGCGATCGCTTCCCCCTGCCTCCTCTCCTCTGTCCTTCTCGTCTCCTCTGCTCTCCCCCCACCCCCGCTCAGCTCTCGCCTCTGCGCGTGGCCCCCCTCTCCATCTCACTTGTCCCTCCATGCCTGCTCCCGTCGTCCTCATCCATCCCTCTCCTCGGGAGGCCTCAGGAGGAAGGGAGGAGGAGGAGGAGGAGAAGGAGGAGGAGCGAGGAGCGAGGAGCGAGGATCAGGGGGAGGCAGAGGTGGAACCGCTCCAGTCCTTCCTCCTGGCCCTCCCCTCCTGGTGGCGCAGCCTTGCAGTGTGGTGCGACCTATTCTCTCCGGGCTGACCTTCAGCCCGCTTTGCTGGAGTGTGTTCGTAGGCGGGGTGGGACAAAGTTATCCGCCGTTCTCCCTCATCGTTTCATGCCCGCGCTCTCTCTCTCTCTCTCTAGCTTGCTGCCGTACGGTCACACGGACGGCATGCAGTCGGCGCAGCCGAGGTCGGCGGCAGAGATCGGGCACAACGTGTGGGGCGGCTCCTTCGAGGCACTGGCGCGGCCGGACTGCCCAGGAAAGCGGCGGGGGCGCGAACTTGGCGTGACGAGCAACCAGGATTCTCCGACCTCGGGTACGCGAGCCTGGCGTGAGGTACGAAGGATTCGGGCCTCGGGACCGCCAGCCAGGCGCGCAATGTTCGAGGGATGTTGATTTCGGGAGCGCGAGTTCGGAGTAGATTTGTAGAGGATTCTGACTCCGGGAGTGCAGCTGTTGCTTCATTTGCGCAAGGATGTGGCACGGGAGAGCGAAGTTGGTTTAACAGAGGGTTCTGGCTTCGGGACCGCAAAACGGTGTAATTGACTTCGGGTTCTGTTCTCGGGAGCGCGAGCCCGGAGTACTTTGCAAAACGATTCTGGCGTAAGTTACGAATGGTTCTGGCCTCGGTGCAAACCGGGCGTCTGTTGCAAGGGATTATTGCCTCGGTTGCGAAAGTTTCATTTGTTCTATATACATATATGTATATATATGTGTACGCATCCCAGGACCCCAAAACAATTCAGAGCACGCGGCTCGCGCGTGGTGGCCAGAGTCGTTTCCAGTTCCCCCCCTCGCGCGGACAGCACAAATTTTCAGAAGGATACAGAAACTCGCATTTCTAACCTTAGAAGCTAGAAACTGGTATTCGTGCAATAAGCACTTGGCCTCACAAAAGGGGCTAGCGTATACACATATATACACAACCACATACATATTCATGTATGCTTATATGTCATAGCCCCCGCAGGTGCGGATCAGAGTGAGGTGGTGGCGGGGTCGTCAGCAGTCTGCGAGGCCCTGAAGAATGGCGCCGCGCGCGCCAGTGCTTTACACATTGCACAGCGAAGCGAACCCGCCGCAGGCGCCGAATTTCCGTCAAAACAACGTGGGTGGGTCGCGGGGAGGTCTTGGGCTGGGTCGCAGGCAGGGTCGCGGGTGGGTCGGGGGTGGGTAATGGGCGGGTCGCGTGCGAGGGCGACGATAACAACAACAAACATAATCTTCGCAGTGAAATCCCACTTCAAGCAAACACCCAGTGTTGGTGTAAGATCGCTTAGCCCCACATTCTGATTTACACATACACGTATACACACATGAGTGTCTAGTTGTATATATTCACATGTATATATGTATACATTATATATATATATATATATATATATGTATACGTGTATTATGGATGTGGGCCCCAAGCAGTGAGTTTCAAGCAACCGATGTGATGTACCCTTGGTTTGCGGAGTATATACGGTGCAGTATGTATTGTGCAATAATTCGTGGTACGACATAGGTTGTGCAATGTATGTGGTGCAGGATACGTCGTGCGGTCTATGTTGTGCAACTTCCGTTGTGCAACCGGCGTGGTGCAATATAGGTTGTGCGAATTACTTGCCGCATGCAATCTAGGTGGTGCCATTTATCTGGTGCAACCCACGTGGTGCAATTTATATGGTGCAATCTGCGTTGCGCCAAGTGGGAGGGGAGACCGCCTGCGACGTGCAATATATGCGGTGCCGATCTGTGGTGTGCAATTCATGTGATGTGAGTTATTTGGTGCAGCGTCGGTGTTGCAGTCTACCTTATGCATCTCGCGTGGTGCAATGGATTTTTGTTCGCAGTGCGTTGTCGATTCCATTGTTCGAAAAATCCTCCCAGCCACCCATTCGCAACAGGAGGCAATTGCGATGCCTGCCTGGTCTTCGCTGGCGCATAGCTGCGGCCCCGCTGGCGCGCGCATTGTCGCGCGCAGAGCGGCCAGCTATTCTGGCGCGACCGACGCGGCCGCGTTGGCGATGACCGCTGGGCACTTCCCAGCGTGTCTCACAGGCCGCGCTGGCGCGCAGGCGCTTTAGTGCGAGTCGGTGATTCGGGCAGGCGCGGCACCATGGCGAGGTCGTCGACGGCAAACAGAATGGTGATTGCAGCGATGTTAGTGGCGACGATGACGTTGACGCCGGCCAGGGCAATGACTGCGCCGATGTTGACCGCGCCGACGACGATGGTAGCGCCCACGCGTCGGCGACGAAGGTTACGGGAGGATTTCGACATGCGCGCGCGGCCGGCGGGCGCGAGTGGCCCGCGTGGTGTTATTTGACAGGGATCGCGTCCCCCCCCCCCGCGCGCGCGCAAAGGGCTTTCGAACGATTCCGTCATGGGCACGCGAAAAGGACCATGTGTATTGCTTTGGTTCTCGGGGCGCTCGATCTGGAAATTCTTGTGATCCCCAGTGTTGTTGAAGCGTTTCGGCATGCGCGCGCTTCGCCCAATCTTTTCCAAGGGATTGGTGGACATTTGTGTTCCTGATAAAACGAGCGCGCAATGTCATTTGACGAGGGCGGTGGGGGGTGTCGCACCCGATTGGGCCGGGATGCTATGGGCTCAAATTTTGAGAGAACGATAAGAAGGCATAATCACATTCAAATAACATATCTTCAGTGAGGGGTGGGATAAACCCTTTGGGGGGGGAGAGCTTCTCGCTCGGCGAGAGAATGCGCGCGGCGGATCTTGCGCGGCGCCAACTTTCTGGTTCAATCTACGTGGTTTGATCCACTAGTGATCATCTTGAGTTTATCCATTATATTGCTCGCGCAAACATCCAGCCCGCTCACGCGCCTTCTGGTTTACAAACAACGCGCGGCGGTAATTTCGACGAGAGCGCGGCGTTGGCTGGTGCATGACTGCGGCCGCGACAGCCCGCGCATGCGCGCGCGGCGGCCAGCTACTTTGGCGCGACCGACGCAGCCGCGTTGGCGCTGACCTCTTGGCACATCCCAGCGGGCACTTCAGTGCGAGTCGGCGACTTGCGCGGGCGCGGTGCCGCGGTGGCGTCGACGGCGGTAGACGCGGCGATAGTGGCGATGCTGGCGGCGATGTTGAGAGCGACGAGGGCGCGGCCAGTGACGGTGCAGATGCCGATCGCGCCGACGTCGTTGACGGCGCCTTCGCGTCGGCGATGAAGGCTTTGGACGGAGTTCGACATGCGCGAACGGCCGACGCGCGAGAGTGGCCCGCATGGTCTCATCCAACGCAGATCGCGCCCCCCCCCCCCCCCCCGCGCGCGCGCAAGGGCGCCCGAGTGATTTCCGGCGCCCGAGGCCCGCTTGGCACAATTTCACGCGCACGATGAAAACACGCGGGTTTTCTTACGGCGCGGCAAGAGCGCGAGGGCACGCATGTTTGAAAAGCGACGTTGCAAAACCATGTCTTGTTGAATGATTTGCGGGCGCTCGGCTTTGAAATCGCTATGACACCGAAGCTTGTCGACGGATGACGGCGCGCGCGCGCGACGACGCGCTCGCGCACTTCGTTTCGTTCATTTTGGCCGAGGATTTTCGCGGCGGCACGCGCGCCGACCCGCTCGGGGGATTCCGCGCGCGCACAGCCCGCTTGGTAGTATATTCTGAACGTGTTGCGCGCAGATGGTTGTCTCGCGACTTCGCAAGAGCGCGCGCGGGTTTTTCTGTGCCTTTCTGCATTGCAAAACTGTTTGTTTGTCGCGCGTTTGCGTTGGCTTCTTTTTGAATGCCGCGCGAAACCTTGGGCTTTTGAAGGATTTCGGCAGCCGCGCGCCACGGCGCGCGCGTGCACTTCGTCAAATTTGGTGCTTGCGATTCATAGAAACTGATTATCTTTGATAAACGAACGCGCGCTCGCATCATGATTTGCGCAGAGCATGGCGGGGGTGGGGCCGCCCCCCCTTCGGATGGCGCAAACTTAGCACTCGGATGGGCAACGGGGCAGGACGACACGTAAACTGCAATGAAAAAAGGCGCGGATACCCCGGGGGGGCGGCGGGGGGGGGGCGGGGGGGCCATTCTCTGTTCAGAGAGGATAATTCTTGACCGTTCCCCGCGAATTCCCCCCCCCCCCCGCGCTCGCGCAATCGTCGAGCCCGCCCCTCCGCAACTCGGAGTGCGAAACCCAATCGGCGGCGGTTGTGATGGGCGCCCTGAGCTCGCTGTCGCCCCTCTGCGGCCGCGCGCGCCCGCGCGTGCTCGCGCGCGCAGCGGCCAGATAGTTTGACGGCGCCGACGCTGCCGCGGTGGCGCTGACCGCATGGCGCCTCCCAGCGGGCAGTTCAGTGCGAGTCGGTGACGTGGGCGGGCGCGGCATCGCGGCGACCTCGACAGCAGTGGGCGCGACGGCGATAGTAGCGATGCTGGCGACAACGACGACAACGCCAGTGACGGCGCCGACGTCGCTATCGCCGACGACGACGACGTCGCCCTCGCGTCGGCGATGGATGTTTTGGAGGGGGTCCGAATTGCGCGCGCGGCCGACGCGCGAGGGTGGCGCGCGCGGTGTTATCCGGCGCGGGTCGCGCCCCCCATAGCTCGCGCCTGGCGCGCGCGGGCGCTCGCGCTCGGCAGAATAGAGCGAACGCGTTCAAAAACCTACGGTTGCCATGCGAACCCGCGCGAAGGCGAGCGCAGGAAGCTTTGAAAACTGACGTTGTAAAACAACATGTTCATATATTTTGGCCCCTGCGACGACGCGCGCGTGCATTTTGCCCGGTGCGTCGCGCGGATTTCTCGCGACAGCACGCGCGCGCGGGCGTTCGAGCGATTCCGGCGCGCGCGCGCGAGAGGCCAGCATGGCGGCCAGTCATGAACGCGTTGAGAGGCTACGGCGTTCTTGCGAATTCGCAAGAGCCAGAGTTCAGAGCCCCGAATCATCAGGGGCGCCTCGGGTCAGGGCTAACTCGGGTTCGCTTTTCGGGATTCCGAGCCCGAGTTACCCCGGGCCCGAGTTACCCCGGGTAACTCGGGCGTCCAGAGCCCCAAATCATCAGGGGTATTTCGGGCCAGGGCTAACTCGGGTTTTTTTTTTCGGGAATCCAAACCCGCGTTACCCCGGGCCCGAGTTGCCCCGGATAACTCGAACGCCCAAAGAGTTCAAGTTCATTCTTGAACTTCCGCGTTGCGGAGCCGTAGGGTGTTGCGCGTTTTTCGGGGCGTTCGGCTTTGATATATTCGTGAATACTAGGGTATTTGAAGGATCTCAGCATGCGCGCA